CCCCTTGCATTAACTCAGAATTAATGATTCCATGAGCACACACTGTAGGCTTACATTTCTTAAAAAAAAAAAAAATTTTAAATTAAAATACTTTGAATTAATAAGCCACATATATCAAAGATGTCAATCTATCAAAACTAAGTTTTTGTCAATAATAAGAAGAAGAAAAAAAAAAAAAAAAAAAACTTAAAATAGAATTTTGCTTTCTGAAAAATTGAATTTAATCCAGAAAATCTAATAGTATGGTTCAAGAGACTAAGAATTAATTTAATCACTATCATGACATGCAGAACCCAATTTTGTTATCAGAAGAGGCCCATAATATATTCTAAAGAAAATTAAAATCACTAGAACAAACCCCAGGATTAATATGTATTCTTTGGTGAATGCTAACAATATCAAAAGTTAAAGTTTTCCCAAATATATTATGTCAAACTGGGCAATATGCAAATACAAATTTTGGTTGAAATTAAGGAAAGAATGAACTGTACACTCATTCTTATATCCCTAAGTTTCTACAAATAAAATACCATGTTGCATTAAAGAATTTAACAAGTTTTAGGGCATTATGAAAAGCGTTTTTTGTTTTTTTTTAATTCCCGATTTTAAGACTGAAATGTTATGACTGGCATTTAATAATAAAGGCCCCATCAAGAGATGTATCAAAGCAAATATTTACAAGATTACATAAATCAAAATAACGGACTTCTTACAGTGGTCAAAATTAAAATAATAATTAACTACTAAAATGAAAGGAAAGATTTATATAGTTTATTTTTCCAGGTTTTTACCATAGTGCAAAAAAACTTGTGTTTAAACATTTTTTTTTATAAAAAGATCACCAGAATGAATCTCAGACAAAATATCAAACCATTCCAAGTTAAAGACTTGAACTTTTTGTAATGTTAGTGAAATTATTTTAAGAGTCAATATTCTTGTAGAATATAAGTCTTTTCACAATATGCCAAAATTCAGAAAAATAAACAACCTTTCCTTCTCGCAAGATTCTGTTTAGATTTCACTGATATCCTATAATTTTATCGAAATAGTGAAAATAAGATACAGTTTTTAAATAATTATATTAAGTATACTTAAAAGAAACAATATCTTTTAAAAATACTTTCAGTACAATTCTCATTCTAAAATCTTGCCAAAGAAAAAAGCTAGCATTTAATATTTTGACTAGTATCAGTGATACCCAGATTTTTCCGTCCAGGCAAAATATTACTAATCAAATGCCATCAACTTTACAATAATACATCCTTGAATAATAAAAAAATGTAAGCCTTTAAATGTGTACATATGTATATATAAAGTGGGTGTAAGTGTGTACTGTTTTAGTTGTCATAAAGGCAAAGACAACAGATGCAAATGGCTGACTTTCACTAATTTTTATTGGAAATATACTGGTATATATATATATATTTTTTCCATTTTCTCATTTATTGAACTTATAATTACAAAAAAGTTGTTCTTGTTGCTGCTGTTGTTGTGGTTGCTGTACTTTTTATTTTATTTAATTGAGATTATACAATATTGCTCAGCCATTGAGGTGCTGCTGCTGTTACTGCCACTTTATTTGTGATGGTGACAACAGGAGGAGGATCAATACTCCACAATGGAATCATGCAGCATTTATTCACAAACAAATTCAATCAAGCAGTGAGAGAGAAACAAGAAAAAAATGGAAAGGTTTTCAGTACAGAAATAATTATCAATAGGAAAAAAAAAATAAAACCCAGTTGGAAAACATATTGGACTCAGTAATGTTCAGCAAAAACTGAACATACACAAAGCCAAAAGCAAGAGGAAAATATCATGATAGGTAATATATTGGGGAAGAGTCAAATCTATTGTTACATTAAAATCGACACAATAAAAAGGGTATAGTATATGCAAACAAGCCTGGAGTTGGGGGAGGGGGGAAACAAAACCATGATATATACCAATATAATAAAAGGTAATCTCAGAGGAAGAACTAAACTAAAACTTCTTTTAGCTATTCACATTAAAAAAAAAAAAAAAAAAAAAAGAAGAGGTGGGAGGGTACTAAAAATAACTAACAAATCATTCAAATTCTGTTATTGTAATTTGGTCAAAAGCACAACAGGCATTTTTTTTTTTAAAATAAGAGGTTGAATATTGATATCAAAAAGTACTTAAAAATATTATTCAATATGTGTAATAGTAAATGTCCATATCAATTTGTTTTTTGTTTTTTTTTTACAAATACAAAAAGTTTAAGACTAACTGAAATATTATAATCAAACAGATTATCATAATTTTTTTTTAATAATTTCACCACAAGAAAGGTGACAAAAAGCACTAAGAAGCAAGGGGTTACTGAGAGTGAAAGAAAGAGGACAATATGCAATAACTGTCCAATAATTATCACTTAAGAAAAAAATAATGAACTTGTTGGCAAGCATGAACAATGAAATCCTAACAATTTAGCAAAGTTTCTTGGCTTAAGGCATTGGAGAAGACATTCATTATACAGAGTTTGAATAACTACATTATGCAATTTAAATCTCTTTGAAAGAGTTGCAATTTCAAGAGAAATATTTAATAGCAATAACTGAATGGAGGAATTTTTAATGGCAGAAAAAAATATACACACTATTCAAAATTAATATCAACTTCCTAATGTATAGAAAATCCATGACCACAAAATTAAGATTTTTTAACCCCATAAAAATTCCAAAAGACAATCAATATATATATATAACAAATTATTAACTGTTAAAATTTAATGAAATAAAATAAATGGTAATACAGTAAACCTGCAGAGTATTTCCACTAAAGTTTAGCATTAGCAAGAATGTATTTTTAAAACGTCCGTTAAAATTAGCTAAACATACTAAAAGCAAAAAGTGTGATACCCAATGACTGAGGAAAATCAAATTCATAAACTACTTTGTTACATGTCAATGTTAAACTGGTAGAGACCATTGATTAAATAATTTCCAAATTTATTCTAGTAAATTTTTAAATTCAGCAGAAATACTGAATGTGATTTAAATGACAATTATAACCAAAACCAAGAAGCCTAAAATAATTATATAGCCAAAACCAAGAAGCCTAAAATAAAGACCATGTTAAACTGCTACATAAAAATTGGATTATTCCGATTAGTGTCCCAATTCAAGAGAAGTCAGTTTTAAATTCTGCCATGTTCAAATGACACTTCCATAACCCAGCATAATATAGCTTTGTTATGTTTATATTTTCAAAAATAAAATCTAAGTACAGATTAACTAAACATCTCACTTCAAAATAAATGCAATCTAATCAATTAAGACAACATGAAGAAAAAAAAATTGCTTCATTTATATTTTAGAAATAAGCAGCCTTAAATACAAAAAAAAAAAAAAAAAAAAAAAGTTTCTATAAAAATTGCAAACCTAACAGCTTTTACCAAAAATGTACAAAAGAAATTACTGCATTTGAAATTAGGTTTAGTTTAAAAGCCAGTGTTTATTGTAGCACCATCACCAACAGCAGACTTGTTTGCAAATCCATATCCCGTTATTGGAGAAATGCGATCAATTTTATTCACAATTCTGGAGAAAACAGCTTTATTGAGTGTTTAAAAAGAAAGGGAGAGGAAAAAAAATCCTAACCCCCAATTAACTTTTATTAGTTGAGCAAACATAAAAGATCTTTATTTATTCAACCAATGCAGGGAGGAAAATGTTTTTAAATTAAAATATAGATATTTATAAAAAAAAAAAAAAACACTGAATGCTAATGCAGTTTACAAATAAAATATACAAATAATTTTTAAATGCTATAAGCCATTCCAAAATTCACAATCAAACAAAAATAACTTAGAATATTTTATTTAAAAAAAAAAAAAAAAAAAAATCATTAAGACTTATTCTATTTTAGTTATTTAGTGAAAGATACATTCCCATTCTAAATTTGTGGATTAAATACAAAATGAAAAAAATAACAAAACAAATTTAACCACTAAACAGGTCACAAAGGTTATTTAATCATACTCACAATTAAAGAGGAACATTTTACTGTATATATCTCATTTTATCAAATACAGAAACACAAATTTTACACTAAAAATTTACTTATGGCTAAAAAGTTACCAACATAAAAAAGCTAATTTTTTTAATAAAAAAAAAAAAGAAAAAAAAGTTGCTTTAAATTAAAAACATTTAAGCCAAATTAAAAGTATATCTAAGTTTTCAACACCTTTTCTATAAATATTATTTGAAATTCTATTTTATTCTAAAGGAAAAATAATATTTAGAACATATCTTAATGCATAAAGTCAAGGAAATATTATTTGAAAGTTAGAGCATTAATTTATGGCACATGGAAATTTATTTATATCACAATTTTCTGGTCTTAATGAACAGTGATTTTATTGAAAGTATGTCTCTTTGCTATTTATTAACCTGTAGATATACAAAACAGATAGATGTTATTTCACTAAAATTCCAACAAGATAATCTGACAGCTGAGAGATAGTTTTCCAAAGATTGAAGAAAATTTGATTCACAGCAAAATACTTACAAGTTATGAAGCACTGATAAATGAATTCATAACTGTATCCCAGCTACATCGTGCAAGCTTACTTCCCAAATGAAAATCCTGCCCAACTCTTATCTCCCCTTGGCAGAAATTGTTTTAGTGACCAGAACTATGGCTACCTACATTCAGCTAGCAGGTAAGGCTGTGAAGCATGTAACCGTCTTCAGATACATACTGTATTACAGGTTAGCTCAGTCAATAATATGGCTTTACTAAGATTTCAAATTAGAGAAAAAAAAAAAAAAAAAAAAATTCAAGTTATGCCCATTGTGAAATTTGAGACGGTTTCAAAAAGATAGTAAAGAATCTGATGTTTGGCAATTAAAATTATAGAAACTGCAACAGCATTCAGAGCAGCATGGAAGACGGTGCCAACAATTGCACAAATGAAGGTAAGAGCGTTCCTACTACTGCCCGCCCAGGTCAGTTGTGGACTCCATGTAGCGTACCTGATGCCTCGGACTGGTTCCTTATGTCCCTGAAACATCTTAACATTGTTCATGTTAGATTGCCAGTATTTGATATAACCTGAATGATCTGCTGTAACCATCCAAGTGTCACTGTGACTCCACATCATTGCTCGAACCGATGTGTCGTGGGCCTACAAAAGAACAATGATAACAAGAATAGAACTTAAAAAAAAAAAAACAGCAGTTCAATATGAAGTAGATACTTCACAAGGTAATATTTTCTTAAAATATTTTGTAAAATTCACCAATTCTGAAAAAAAATTTCACAAATTTTAAATTTCAATTTCCCTCTTAAGATAAATGACACATTAAGAGATAACACTAATAAATCTATTGTATGGGGAGGGGGATACACTTTTACCTAGTAGAGTATGTATCCTTGATTTTAGTAAACTAATATAGTCACTGAACATCTTTTAAAAAATTACAGGCAAACTTTTACCATTTCCACACAATACTTAAGAGAAAGATAATTCATTACACATCTTATGGTAGGAAATTTTTCACTACCAAATCATATTTTTATTTGGTAAAATACATGTAAGTGCATTTTACAGGATAGTAATTTAATTCTGAAAAACGGTAAATATTTAGAACAAAATAAGCATGCAAATTCAGATTCATTTTAAAAATATATATATGAAAAATACAATGCACAAAAAAAAAAGTTAATAAAAGACAAAAGTACAATTGGAGGGGGATTGTTAAAACTGAATAACTTCAAATATAAATTTTAAGCAATGTTATTTTAATGTTATAATTCCCAAACTGAATGTCCATTTGCAAATCTTAATTTATAACACACATTAATTCAAAGACATAAGATGTCCTTAGCAAAGTACTTATCAAAAATGTATATAATTCTGTCAAAGCTTGTTAATGAAATCAAAGTTAATATTATGAAGATCTTTATGTGACGATTCATTTTAGCCTTTGACAGATTAATTTCTTATTGCATTTCTCCAAAGACTGTAGAAGGATTAATACCTCATGCAAAATCTATGAAATGACCACACTTAGATATTCAACCAGCTTTTCAACTTCACAACAAACAAATCATAGATATGACATAAAACCATTTTTGTTTAAAAATAGTAGAATCAACTTGTAATTTGTATTTCAAACAAATACCAGCACAAGTAAAAATAAAATTAGTCTGCAGTTAAAAATGCTTCATCCTGCAAAGCTGATATGTCAAACACTATTTGAGAAAGTTAAAATGAGCTAGAACCGCCTCCCTATTAGTGAAGTCCACTTTACAAAGAATTCAGGTAGCCATAAAAGACTGAAGGAAGAGCAACAAAGGTACAAATTGTGAGGGTTTCTTATGATGATGATGATAATACCATATTTTCTTCAATTTGATATGGCAAAAAAGTATCTCATTAGTTAAAATTGCATTTTACTGGTTTGAGGTGTTTTTCAAGAAGTCAGAATGTTCAATTTTTAAACAAAGACTTTTGTCTCATAGTTGTAATTTGTTTGCTATGAAGGCAAATAGCTGATGATCATTCTCCAAGTATATCATATTTGTCAAATGTTGTTTTTAACAATGACAGTATAAACCTTTTCTGATACCATAATATATTCATAGGGGATTAAACAAGATCTTTAAACATGATAAACTTTTAGTCAACTTATTTATAACATGAACAAGTTATATAGTCCAAATAAATAAATACCAGTTTAAAAAGATGGAATTTCTTTATTATTATTCTCTATACATAAGAGCATTTAATTTGCCTTTATTTCTCCAAAACTTCATATAACAGGGAATTAACACATTTCCTATTTGCATTTCCTATTATGTTTAATTATATGTGTATTGACAGAAGTCACAATCCCATCTTATCTAATTTTAAAATGATCTGGGCATAAAGAAGAATATCCAGCTAATTCTAATTTTATTTATGTAACAAGAAATTAATGACAATCTAAACTTTTAAGGTCTTTTTACATTAATATTCTTATCACCTGTAGTTGGAGGAAAGTTCCATAAAAACATTAGAAAAAGAATGACTCCTTGCAACTTCTGTTTGTTTGATGTTCACTGTGGAGAGAAAAAAAAAAGCAAGCACAAACAATAGAATTTCTCTGATATTGTTAACATTGAGTTCTTTCTATAATGTTGAAAACTTGAAGGATGTAAAAAGATTTATAAAGACTTCATAACAATCAAATATTAAACTGATTGATAAATTAAAAATAACTTTAGGTATAACTTGGCTTTGTTTCAGAAACTATCAGATTATTTCTGTTGGTTATCAAGATACTGATTTTGGAAAGAACTTTTCAGTACCTAGTTCATAATTGTGCATGAAAATAGGTTATGTATTTTTCATCAATTTCTGCAAAAAAACTATATTTTTCGCTTCAAAAGAATTATTTTCTTCATATCTATTTTTTAGCTATAATACTGAACATTTTTTAAATTGCATTTATTCTAAAAAGTTTAATGAAATGTTGACTTACAGTTTTAGGATAACTTAGAATACACTTTGAACATTTGTACTCCTAAATAAGTCAAGAATTACAATATTCCAGTTAAGTGATAAAATAACAAGACAACCAATGAAAATCATGACAGCTGATTTTTTAACATTAAAATTTTTTAACATTAAAATGATTTCTTATAATCATTTTATCATCGTGGGTGAAAGTTTTAGAATTTCATCAAAGTACCACTGGTATAGTATGTGTGCATACCAATATATTCTTTCAGAATTCTTTTACTAAGTATTACACCTTTTCAGTGATTAAATCAGGTGAATGTATGGATATGAATGCATAATCAGGTACCTGTATCAGAACTTGAGAATATTTATCTACGCTGACAACACAATTTATTCCTGTCTCAATAGTAAGTCTGATCAGTCAAAATGGCAGCCAATGTCCAAAAACGACCTCAAGTCTGTGGTTAACTGGGGCAAAATATGGCCTATTAATTTTAAGGCCTCCAAAACTAAACTTCTCTCTATTAATCATATGAGAGACCCCTTGCTGCCTTCCATCAGCATGGCTAATGCTATCCTCTAGATAAGTGATTACTTTCACCTTCTCGGGCTCATATTCTCTGCTGATATGAAGTAGAAAGACTATATTGAATCCATTGCTAGGCCAGCTGCTAAGAAAGTCAGTTCACTATGTTGAGCGAGATTATTTTTCTCTCTAGAATCTACAAGTCTACCATTCATCCATACTTAGAATATTGCTACTACATATGGTCTGGTGCTATTGCTATTTACCTTGAGTTCTTTGATAAGGTCAAAAAAATCTGTAATATATTTGGTCCTGATCTGGCAACTCGGCTCCAGTCACTTTCCCAACGCTACAGTTGCCTCTGTCTTTTCTATAAATACTTTCATGGTAATTGTTCGAATGAGGCTTTCACAATGCTACCCAGAGTTTTTGAATTTAAGCGCAGCACTAGGCTAGTGCAGAGATCTCATCAATTTACAGTTGAGCTGTCTAGATGTGGCCATAAATTCTATGCTAACAGTTTCTTTTCTTGCACTTCTCACTTGTGAAACTCTTCAGACTCCATGCTTTCCAGCCAATTTTAATTTGCAAAAATTTAAATGCAATATCTACTGTCCATCTGATTACTCTCTTCTCTTTCTGCTCACCATTAATGTTTCTGTTCTGAATTCTTCCACACACTGTAACCTCTTGTTTAATGGCATTACTGCTATGCTTGGAGTGATTCCAATTAAAAAAAAATATGCTAATGCCTACAAGTTAATGTAAAAAAAAAAAAAAAATAAATAAATAAAAATATGTAAATAAAAAAAAATCTGATAAACTCATTAATATTTTGATATCTTATGTAAATATTTTGTCTCATTAAAACATTTCTTTACTTAACCATAAGGAATTTGTTTCCATGACAATTTTTCAGATTAGAATGAATTGTGATCCAAAATTACTTGAAGGAAATGTTTTGACATAATAAATTACATAAAGCTTCACATATTACAACTTTCCCAAAAAAAAAAACCTGCATTATATTTAGAAATCTTGATTTTATTTTAACTCTTGCTGTTACTATCTTCAAAACATTTAATCTTACTTGGCCATGGTATAGCTCATATAAACTTTGATTTTTTTTAACTATATATATATATATATAAAAACAGTCACTTCATACAATACTACAGAATCGAATCAAATTTTAACCTAAAAAGTCCTATTATTTTTGAAGCACTGACCAAAAATCATTCTCACCTGAAGAATAGTTTCAAAATTAAATGTAAGCCCATTCCATAGAGTAAATTCTCCACTTGAGGCACCAGTCACAAGTCGTCTACCTTCAGGTGTCCACTGTAAAACAAAGTTATAAAAATATCTGAAACTTATTCTTTTAAAAGGTAATGTTAATACAAAAAAAAATAAAAATGTCTCGAGCTTTTTCATAGACCACTTTAAAAGTATAAAACTATAAAAAGAAAAATTTAACTATTATTATAGAAAAAAAAAAAAAAAATGGATGACTAATTACATAATTTCCATATAAATTTAAAATATTTCCATCTTAAAAAAAATTCCAAAAACCCAACTTAAAATTCACTATTTCTGTGGTTTTTTTTCTATTTCATCCAAAAGGGAATCAGAGGAAAAGATCTTTTGCCTACCATTTTTGAAAAGCTAATGCTAAATTGACATACAAGTAGTTTTTTTTTTTTTAAATTTATTATAAATAATTACTGCAAGAAAGTGTTCAACTCTTACCAGAGCATGGCTATAATTTTATAGAGGATGAAGAGCAGAGTAAAAAAGCTGAGCTAGTGAGAAAAACACTGTAAAGGAACATACCGTTAAAACAAATATAGGACACCTAAATTTATTGGTTGATGTTCGAACAAATTTTGTCACAACACAATTCATTGGATTGTGCAGGAAACTTAATGGAGGCACAAGCTGAAATAAAAAGAAAATTAATATAGAATCAAACTGAAAAAAATTTGTACCCAAATATTCTTCAAACTGTAGAAAAAAGGACATAAAATGCATATCTACAAACAGAGAAAATTTTAGAAAGAAAAATAAAAAAAATAATGCCAAGTTAGATATGGTTGAGACATTTAAAAGATTGATTTGTTGCATTATGGCTTATCAGCCCTTTGTGGATTATTTAAAGCCGAAACATTGAATTGTAAGAAATTTTTTTGAGTGAATATTGCATTAACAATTTAAAAAAAAAAAAAAAAAATTTTTTTTCCTGATGCAAGCCCTATTATTTAATTCATAACTTTCCTAAGGGCATGTGCATGTAAATGAATACAATGAACTCAACTGGAATTCAAAGTTGGTGTTCGAATTTCTCATTCAGAGCCACTATCCATTTTAAAGTCAGATATAATTACAAGGAACATTCTTAAAAAAAAAAAAAAAAAAAAAAAAAATATTGTTCATCAGGATCAAAGATGAGAAAAATTCAAAACAATTGTTCAATTAAGTGGCTTTTCATAGTCAGGTCATCATTAACAATGGTTGTAATGAATGAATCAGGAAAGTCCACTTTGGAGTTCTTAATTCATATTCAAGAGTTTATTAAAGCCCCTGACAAAATTTGCAAAGTGGACACACAAATCACATGGCATAAGACCATAGAATTATTGCCAGATATTTCATCACTCAGAATAAATGAATTCAATCAGATACCAAGTCACTTGACTTGGTAATTTACCAAATCTTGCCATTTATTCCTTAAAGCACAAATCATTTAAAAGACCTATCTGTTCAAAACAAGCAAAATTTCAACTTCATGGTACAGTTGTATTAAACATATCATTGGTTATTTTTATCATTTATTATTATCAACTGAGTGCAAGCGTACAGAATAGCTTATACTATCAACTGTAATTGATTTTGTTAGTTCTCTAAGAGATCCAACACAAATAATGAAATAATGACTTGACTGAAAGAGTTGTGAGTTCAATACCTGGCCACAGCAGAGGTGAACAAAAACTTGGAGAGTTACTAAAGAGAAATAACTGAAACAGAGATATCCAGAAAAGGCATAGAATTTGGAACTAGAACAATCTACCCCAGTAAACAAAATAAAGGGTTTGGTTTAAAATTTCAACATATATCACCTGAAGAAGACCAGAGCATACAATGGCCAAAATGGTGTGAATATGACAAAGATGTGGACAACAGTCTGAACAATGTAAACAGTTACAATACCTAATCTCAGAAATTTAGACAGGTGCCAAATAATGAAGCTTAAATTAACTCAGACCTTTCAATACTTTTTTGGATTACACTTACCCCTTCCTGATAAAGGCAGTCTGGTTGGATGGCTCGGAAATCACGGTGATCACGCTGATAAAGTCGATTCTAGACAAAAAAAAATTAAGAGAAAAATTAAACAGGTATAAGAATACAAAGCAACACTCATATTTAAATTATGAAATCAAATGGAAAAAAATATAAAAAAATTATTTGAATTATCTGCCTAAGTTTCTATATTTCAATTAGTATTATCATCCTTAAAACTCAAACTGGAATATGTATTTCTATTATGTCCATAGATTATCACAAATTATAAAACAAAAGTATTGATTTTCTTTTTCCTTTGAAGAGAAAATTTGAAGCAAGTGAACAGTCATAATTGTCAGCAGCTTATCATACAGAATGATATCAAAGTTTTTCAACCTCAGTTCTCTTCTCCGCAATTGTGAAAACAGGTGGTGAGCAATGTTATAATATTAAATTATTTCATCCAATACATTTAACATATCTTAACATATCTCTTGTTAATAGGTAACAATAGTAAAAAAAAAAAAAAAAAAGAAAACACACACAAAGATATCTATTTCTGCTACCCATGACAGGATTCTTCTTTAATGATGTAGAGTGTAATTTGTATTTTAATAGGCATAGACAAATTTTTATTACTGCTCACTGACTTTCCCACTAGTTCCACAATTCAGCTTTAGTCATTTTCTAAATATTTTTTATATTAAAGAGAAAAATCTTGTAAGGCACTGACATTTGTATTTGCAATACTCAATTTATACAATGTTCATTGTAAATCAGAGAAAAGGATTGTTAATGGCAAGGAATTACTGACAAAATAGGGCAATAATTAAGAATCTATTGGCAAAATTTTTTCCTGAAAACATCACTTAACTGCATTATTTTTATGTGCAGAATCCTCAGATGTAAAAAAAAAAAAAAAAAATACTCACTTCAAGATATTTTACAACAGCAGAATTATAATCCACAGTCTTTCTGTGCACTGCCTTTCGCATACGTTTGCCATCAAACATAATGCCCTGACTGGCCATCATTTGTTGTCGCATCTGCTGCACATAGTTACGCTGCTGTTGCTGCTGCTGTGATTGTTGAGGAGGCATGCCGGGGGGCCCTTGAGACATGGGCATGGGAGGAGGCATGTTGAATCTTGGGGGCATGTTAGGTGGAGGATGGCTCATATTGGGCAACTGTAGGGGAGGCCCCGTCATTGGTGGCAAAGAAACGGGCATCATGAGCCCTGACATATTTTTCCGAGGCTGAAAAAAAAAAAAAACAACACAGATTAGTGATTCAAGATATTAACTACAAAAAACATTTTGGATTTATTTTAACCATAAAACTTTCAAATAATGAAGCTTATTTGCAGCTGGTATGAAAAAAGTCCAAGAATTCATGCAACTATCAACCATCAAAACAAATTATATAAATGAACTGAGGGTTGTTTCACTTTTATAATTGGGCTATAAATTACTTTTTTTGTATTTGGAATAAAGTAGATCATCTGTACAATTCAAAATTTTATACTCAAACCCAAGGGACATTGCATTACAGTAGAAACTTGGTTATCAAGCACCTCCATTATCATAGAATTCAGTCATTATTCACTTTTTTTGGCAAAAATATCACTGAAATTGTTCATCATCTCGGTTATTGAGCATTGAAATCCATCCATTATCAACCTGTACATTCCTGTTCACTTGTCTGCCTTTGTCTCTTGCTAAGTGAGCATCTCCCCTAGTATTAGTCTGAAAATGTTCATTTTAAATAGTGTTTTTTCTTCTTTTTTAACTTAGTTTTACCGTTAAATAAACCAGCATGGATCCAAACAAAGTTTGGAGTGTATCATTGGTTAATGGTTAAGTCACTGGGCAAGATGTAGATGAGTTTGTGGAGGACCACTGAAAAATAAGACCTTCAGCTGGAGCAGCAACAAATCAGCTGAGGAGAAGGTGTCTTCTTCTGTGATTAAGAACATTTCCCCCCACCCCAAGCAAGGCAGGAATGCCAAATGCCACTGGTACACAGGGGGTTACAGAGAGTAAAGGTGAGAGAAAAGACTGCATATAGGAGGGACCGAAGAAAGGATAAAAGTTGAACAGAGGTTCAAGGAGATTGTGATTGACATGGCATTTAAATTTTTAAAGATTGTAGTTATCAGGGGAGCAAGGAAATAAAAGGGAGTTCCACGGGCAGGAAGTGCGAGAAAAGGAACTGTTAGAATAGAAGACCAGCATGCCAAACCCTGTCAAACACCATCAAGATATTTAGAGTCGCAGGTCGAGCTTCACCATTATTATCAAGAATATACATATTCAGTGATGGCTGTTAGCACATCAGTTATATCCCTGGCAAAACAGAAGCCAGAAGGTGATGTGCAAAGTTTTGTTGAAAAGTATTACCCTAACTAAGTTGCTGTATGATGTGTTGTAAACATGTTTCGTGATAATGGCTTATATTTCAAGCAAATTTTAAAGCAGAAATAAAAAATCTCTGGATAGGTTTTTAGTGAGAGAGAGATTCAGTCAATCTCAAGCAGGTTGTAGTGGCACAAAGAGACAAAGGAAATAACCACAGAAAGAAATTTACCTGAAGTCTTAATGGAGAGGGATTCCCCTTTCAAACATCTCTTCTTCCTCTCCCCTCCTCACTGTCTTACATTTGCCAACAAGAGTCTTCAATAAAGGTAAAGTGAAGTTAAATGTTCATTTTTCCATTTGTTATTTATATTTATTTCTTATTTTCTGCATGAAAAACTATAGTTATTCTGTATAAAATGTATTTTTTGTTAATATTTTTGGGTGTGTGGAATGAATTAATTGGATTTACATTATTTCTTATGGAAATATTATGCCGGTTTTTCATCCAACTTTTTGGAGTGGATTATGACTGATAACCGACGTTGCACTGTATATATTACCATACAACTATTTGGTCACATAAGATTCAGTTGTATTTTATATTAACTGCTTCAACCTTCTGTAATTAGGATAATTTTCATACAATGCAATGGCCTCTTATTTTTATATTGCATAACAAAAAAAAGAAAAACTTTCACACAAAATGTACACATTAATTATCACTGCTATCCAAGTTAATCAATGATATAAAATGTAAAAAAAAAAAAAACTTTCACTTACATCTATAGTAGCACAAAAAGTTATTCATAAACAAGACAAATATCAAAATCTATTTTCATTAAAATTAAGATTTACTTTTAAACAAATCAAATAGAACAAAAAACTTAATGAAATGGTTAAAATGATAACTTGACAAATCTATACCAATAGCATTGACATTTTACAAAACTTCTATTTACCCATTTTGCAAATTTTCCTAAATTTAGTAGAAATACTAATAAAGCACCCAATAGCTGCAACATTATGAGGCGGTTCAAAAGCTCCTGATCAGAGGCCTTGCTGTTGGATGTAGTTTATTGTCTTACCCAGGACACAAATGTAGTTTATGGTCTTACTCAGGACACCAAGATTTTGTGTCATTTTGGTAAATATATCTGTTAAAACAAGATATCAGTGTTATTTTCATTTTTGCATAATTTATCTATCACATCCTGTATGCAGAACTTGTCTTATTACAAAGTTAAAATGCTTAAACTCTTACTTCATATCAATATGAATACACCAGTTGCATAGTTATATAACAATTGAGTCTAAAAACAATGTTTAAATATCTTTTTAATTTATTCATGGCATTTAACTGTTTTACTCTTAAAATTTGTGCTGCATATATTTTAAATGGAACTTTTTAATAAATAGATAATAGTAAATTCTGGAAAAAACAAAGTTTTTAAACTGATACTTTGCTATTTTTCTTTTTTTATCTCTATCTAAAAATGACTATAAAGCTTAATTTAAAAAGCATTAAAATATCCATGAATCACAAAATATTTTACAAATCCTAAAATAAAATTTCAATGAGTTTTATCATAAGATCTGAAATATTAAAATTATATTCCTTTGCCTAATCAACTTTAAGATAAAAAACACTAAAAGAAAGAAATTTTTTTAAAAACTTCCAAATATTTTTTTTTGTAGACCAGGATAAATCTGTTTGACATTTAATCACATACAGAAGAGTCTGATAGTCTTGAGATCTTTAGTTTCAGGCAGTTAGTCATTAAGATTTTTTTTTTTAAGCATTACGCCCCGAGCAAGGCGAGAAGGCACTAGGATGCAGGGGGTTGCAGAAGATTTCGAGTGAGAGAAGAAAGGATGAGGAGAAGGATAGTGGATAGATCAAGGTAACTAGATGTCAATTGACATTACATTTGAATAGTTGGAGATTATAGCTCTCAGGAAAACAGTAATAGGGAAGGGTGTTCCATAGGCGAGAGGTGTGAGGTATGAAGCAATTGGAGTAGAAGAGATGGCTACATTTAAAAGTTTCTACAGTGAAAGGGTGAGAGCGGGATGCCAGCCTCATAGGGTGCTTGAATTCAGGAAGTCTGGGAACCAGTGAAAGCAGCTCATCAGAGCAATTACCATGAAAGTATAAAAAAGACAGAGAGAGGCAACGATGCGTCTGTGAGAGAGCAACTGTAGACGAGATGACAGATCAGGGCCAATTATATTACATATCCGCCTCTGGATCTTGTCAAGAACTCTTAGGTAAACAGAAGGTGCACCAGACCATATATGGCAGCAATACTCTATGCAAGGGCGAATAGTTGATTTGTATATTTGAAGTATCGATTCCGGGGAGAAAAATTTCCTGCCGCAGCACAGAGAGCCAACGTTCCTCGCGGTGGACAAAGCAATTGACTCAATGTATGTTCCATCTCAGGTCAGCAGTCAACGTGAGACCAAGCAGATGCAGAGAGTTGCTCTCAAGAAGTTAGCTACCAGACATTCTAATGGGGGGCAGGGAAGGATCTCTATGGTGATTAATAGAGAGTAGTTTAGTTTTTGAGGCATTAAAGTTGACCAGCCAATTCTTGCCCCAATTAACAACCGATTGGAGGTCCATTTCAAGACGAGTGGCCAGGTTAGTTTTGTCTGCGACACTAGATTTGTTTTTGAGGCAGGAGTAAATTGTAGTGTCGTCCGCGTAGATGCCAACTTGGGAATCTATGGCGTCAGGAAGGTCGTTGATGAAAATAAGGAATAGAGTGGGGCCAAGAATGGAGCCTTAGGGAACACCTGCGTTCGTGGGATAGGAACTGGAGGAGAATCTGTTGAGAACGACCTTCAATTCACGGTTTGACAGGAATGATTGTATTAGGTCAAACAATCGACCTGTAATACCATAACCCAAAGAAGGCCGGCATGCCAAACTATCAAACGCTTTGGAGATGTCTAGGGCCACAGCACAAACCTCACCATTATTTTGAAGGGCTTGGTAGACGATTTCAGTGATGGCCGTAAGCACATCAGCTGTAGATCGGGTGTAGCAGAAACCATATTGCTTGTCTGAGAGCAAGTCATGTGAGGTACGGTGGTTAACCACTTTGGCGTTGACTAGGGCTTCGAAGACTTTGCCAAAGAGGGGTAGGAGACTAATAGGACGGTAATTAGAGGGGTCTCCAGAGTTCTTTATGGCAGGAACAATGGATGAGGACTTCCATCAGTCAGGAAAACAGGATTCCTTGAGGCAGTAGTTATATAGTTTAGAGAGGGCGGGCGCTAGCTCAGGCGCACATTTCTTCAAGACAATGGCTGGTATACCATCTAAATGTCTCTTGCTTATGTAAAACTTAAACTTGTCTATAAATACACACAAGGAAAAAGCTTAGTTATCATCATCAATGTTATTGCTTTGAAATTATAAATGTTTTTATATCTAACATTTCATAATGACTAACAATTAGACTATTGATTGAAGCTATAATTTTTTTTAAATGTTAATGCATAATTTACATATTTCAGTTTGTAGAAATATCTTTTAGAAGTTAATATAAAGAGTCTTTTTTCTTCACAAGTTTGACACTTGATCTCACAGTTCTTATTTAGGAATGCTAGTTACCAAAATTCAAATTAAAGATCAGATCAAAAACTGTAAAGTTAAAGGGGGGGGGGGGTCCAGAATTATTCCTTAATAAAAATAGATATTAACAGATGTAAACCAATAGGACCAATACTAATAATTTTTCAAAGTTATTTAATTAACCTTT